GAAGAAAAAGGGGGGGGGGGGGGGGGGGAGGTGTATCTGAGCTACTGAATCCTCCCCCTTAGATCTACCCCAGCAGAACGAGAAATAAAGAGGAACCCAATCCTTCTGTAGCAAGAAAACAGCTGCATAACAGCAATAACTAGTGACCAGGTGAGTAATAGGGGGAGTAAGATCCAAGGGTTGAAGCATCTCCTTCACCTCAGCTTGCTGCACACATCTTATTTTTAACCAGTATGGTGGAAAATAAGGTGAGAAGATGATGCAAGATTATTTAGTTCACTTTTTATGTTCCTCATCTCCACAGTACTTCCCTGTCTACACGTCTCTTTCCACTTTTCCCTTTTCTCTTTCTCCTCTATTTCCCCTCTCCCCCACTTCTTTTCTACCTTTCAATGTTTTTAGAATGACTATTTTTATTTAATTCTAACCTTCTCTCTTTCACAGTACAGAGGGTTTTTTTCTTTCCTTTTGCTTCTGCCTTGAGTTTGCCCTTATTTCCTGCTGTCTTCCTGTTCGTATATTCTTTGTCCAGTACCAGGTATTTTCATTCCTATCCTGTATCTGTATGCTCTCGCTCTTTCCTGAAAAATGTCCATAGTGTGTTCTCTCTTTCACACGTTCTTATAATTATGATTTTATTTAGGTTCAGATGATGAAGGAAATGATCAACATGAAAATGAAGCTACCATTGATACTCAGGAAATCTTAAAGCCAGAAGTTGGTTCTGGAGCTCATATTTTGCAAGAAGCGAGCAGAGAAAAGGTCAGTGTAGCTGCTTTATGATTTAGTTTCTCATTTTGGCACCAGCTCAGGAAAAGACTTACCCATATAACTAAGTGCTTTCATGAGTTGGTACTTACATTCTTTCCAGTTTACTAAATCTTTTTTTGATGTCCTTTTATTTATATACGTAATTGAAATGTCCTCTAATAGCAACAATGGATACAAGCCCATTCAAATCATAGGAAGGTTTAAATCTAGATCCAAAATTTTCAGTTCATATTGGGTTTGCAGTATTTGTTAATAGATGGGAAAGCCATATAGTCAATTTGGATTATTGATAGTTTTGATTAAAGGAAGAAATGCGGGTGGCGGGGAAGGACCAACATAAGGCTATGCATAAGTGTAACTTGTGAAGTACTTTAAATGCCACTACACTCTGAGGTGCTTAAAAAATTCAGAGTTTCAGCTGCAGACAGATATAGGGCCCCAAGTGTGCCCTGAAGCTGGAGTGCTTTAAAATCACTGAAACACTATGCAGTAGCATGCTGTCCAGTCAGGACATGCAACGGAGGGCTGCACAGTCTTGAGAATGCTCCTCCCTCCCCACACTGGGAGCACTGTGGGATGCCAGAGGACCTACCGACCCCTTGTCACATTCCATAGAAGTAGCTGTGTCATCCAGGGTTATTTTTGGAGTACCTGGGTTATTTGTATAAAGCTGTATAAGGTGTGTGCATCTGTCTGCTCACCCTAGGGCTAAGACCAAAACAGGAGCGTCTAAAGCAGTGATTCTCAACCAGGACACCACAGCATCATGGGGTACTGTGAGATACTTTTAAGGGTACCATAGGGGTACCCTTACAATATTTGGTGTGAAAACACATACACTTGATTCAAAAAATGAATGCAGAAATTTCAAATAGGAATCCACAGTGTCAAAAACATTCTGACCTGCTGTGGTCTTTCTGAGATCTTTGCAACAGAATTGGCCTATTATTTTTGCATAGTCAACAAACAAGTGGAAGCTAAGAGCTGGCATTTTCCAAGCAGTGCCTTGAATACGAAAAGGTTGAGAACCATTGCCATAGAATGGTGCTTTTTCTTTAAAGGCCATCTTGAGTTAGCTCACAAAGTATAGTATACAGATAAAGATCCTGTTTAACATGTAGCTGTGTTAAGTGATAGAAGATGGACTCAAACTGCATTATCAAAGCCAAGCCTCTTTTGAGGAGTACAGATCTGAAATGTATGTCTCTTTAGAACTGTGAACATATTACCATCTTCCAGCATCTGTGCCATAACCTTTTGTTTTAAACTGCTGAAATTGCTGGGAGAGGTGGCAAAAAGCTTACATGGATTTGAAAGCCACTTGTGTTGTTCCCAGTATACTTTACTATGTTATGATGTTTTTCATGATGTTTAAAAAAGGATACACCCATTTCATTCAGTAACTACCAACAGCACATCTGAAATTTCTTGGCTAGTTTAAGCAAGGGATCCCCTTAAATGTACTCGCACAAACAAATGATCATCCACAGCAGCTTAATGCTCAAAAGTGGAGGGGTTGGGCTAATAGAAATCAATTGGTATTTGGCCTGAGTACGAACAGCAGATGCCAACCCTGGATGCTTTCCTAAGAAGTGCCTAGTGCAGGTTAACAAATGTATATTATTCATTAATATATTGCTGACCTCTAAGAAATTAAAAAATAGCAACATTAAATTAAAAGAAATCCACTGACTGGTAAATGGCAACCTTCTTGGCAATCACAACACAAAGGCTAAGTCTTGATTGGGCACAGTGGTTTTGTTTTGTTTTTTACCACAAGACAGCATGCTCCTTCCACTCTAGGCCAAGAGCGAGGCATGCCAGTAAGACACCGTGGGGAAGCTTGTCACTGTTGTTGCAACTGCTTGGATAAATACAGTTTATGCCCAGCCATCAGCTTCATGCATGGGCATTACATTCAGTTTAAAAAATGGCAGCTAAAAATAAGGAGTATCTGAAGACTGCCCAATTTACATATCTCAGCTGAACTTCAAAAAAGAACAATGTGTTCCGTATGGGAGTCCGCCAATATGACATGGGGAATTGTGCATTTTCAGAAAATTAGATGCTAGAGAAAATTAGATTATTTCTATGTACCAGCATCAATTATCCTGGACATTGGCTAGTGCTTCCTTGATGATACAACAAAGCGCTTGGAATAATTTAATCAGGAATTAAGTTAATGACATCATGTCAGTGCCTAGGCCAGTATCCATAAATCCTTTATAAAGCACAGAGGCTAATCAGGCACTTAAAATTCATTTTTTTCAATCAGACTGCATTTGGCAAAAATGATCCTCTTTGCGCCTGCCCAGGAGCAGGAGGGGGAGGGGAAAGGACTTTTCCCTCACTGCCATACAGCTCACATGGGGCTAGGAGCAGTGTCAGGTTTTATGATCTCTTGAGCAGAACGACTGCTTCAGTCTAATGCCCCTGCCACTGCCAACTACCACAAAGGGACAGACCTACTGTTATGTAGAGCAAAGCTGATCCCACATGGTGGGGAGGGACACATTTTATGGGGGTATTGCAGCTCTGTGATTACCTAAAGCCTTGCTAAATATAGTGCCTAATGAAGTATGTGGTCTTAAATGTAACACAGCATTGAATATTAAATTAGGTGTCTTGACCTACTACCCCATAAATGAGTGGACTATTTCAGCCTCTATTGAGGTGAGCCAAATAACTGCAAATCCTAAATGGTATGCTGCCAGAGTTTCAAATAGTATTAGCAATTTTATTAATCACCATACCCTCATCCAGAAGTACTCAGGATTACCTATCCACTAACTTAATGCTGTCCCTCCCCATGTCCTTACCTGTGTATCTTTTAGACTAAGCACTACTCTTCATTCTTACTTCACTCTGTTATGGTTTGAAATTGCAGTACAACGTACACTGAGCTCACTTACCAACAAATGCAGAGTTCAGGAGGATGGCTATGATGTGATATGATATATTTCAGTTAGCAATGTATTGCTGCCTTTTACCTGCTCTTTCTGTCAGTCCTAGTGCTGATAGTGGCGGGTTGTAATGAATGGTGACAGGGTAGTTTAGAGATTGGTCATGGCAGTTAGACACAGGGATTCATTTAAGCTTTAAGATTTCATTTAAGAATTTACATAGGATTACTTACAATTTTTACTTCTTATGACTCAAGCAGTGTGTAGAGCCATTAATCTATACATGTTGAGTGCTTGTACACACAAAGGGGGTTTAATTCTCCCTAAATTGAAATGGTGTTTTTTTTTTAAACTCGCCATTTCCACTGTTTCAATGTAGGGAGCACTAAACCCCCGTTGCATGTACACAGATGATGGGGCCCAATCCTTCTCGTTCCCCCCCTCCCCCCGTTTACCTGCCCCTCCTGCAGTAGAGGGATGGGGTGATAAGCTGAGCTGTGTGGGGCCCAGTGCTTCCCTCTGCGGCAGCAGCGTCCCCCAGATGGCACCTGCCCACTAGCACCCAGCCCAAACAGTCCTGGGGGACACTGCCACCACAGAGAGAAGCACCAGGCCCCATGGAGCTCAGGGACTGCATGACCTGGCAGCAGCTCATGTAGGCAGGCTTGACTGGGTGGTGGGGGGAAGCAGTAAGGAGCCTGATTTTTCTTCTCCCAGAGCCTGCCTGCCTGAGCTGCGTGGGGCCCAGTGCTTCCTTCCGCAGGGCCGGCGCCCCGCCACTCCGGGAACACCTGGGCTGGGTGCCAATGGGCAGGTGCCGCTTGGAGGGTGCTGCCACCATGGAGGGAAGGACCGCGGTCCCCCACAGCTCAGGGGCCACTTGGCCCACTAGCAGTTCTCTGCCCTGCCCCTCGCCCCACCTTAGGAAAAGCAGGTAGGCTCCAGTGCCCCATGCACCATCCCTGCCACCTTTCCGCCACCTGGGGCCACCTGGGAGTGGCTGGCTTGTCCCTGGGGCAGAGCAGCAAGATGGCAGGATGGCAGCTGGGTGTGCTGGCAGCAGCAGAAGGCAGCGGGGACGGTGCACAGGGCATTGGAAGCCCGCCAGGCCTGAGCTTCCCTGAGCACGTTACTTTCCAGCGCCCTGTGCACCATTGCACTTTGTTAGGTAGCAAACTAAAACACCTCGGAGGGGTTTTACCTTGCTACGTTACAAAGTCATTTAAAGCGGAATGCGTTGCCAAGTGTGTCAGTAGCAATGCTATTGAAGTGGTGGAAAAGAGCATTTAAGCCACTTTAAAGGCCAATTTTGTTGTGTGTACAAAGGCCCGTTAAGGCCAGAAGGAACCATCTTGTCCTTCTACATAGGATAAGCCAAATAACCTCACACACAATCTCTGCATCAAGTCTGTTATTTCTATTTAAGCTATATCATATCTCTTAAAAAGGTATTTAGTCTTAATTTAAAGGCTTACTGGTATAGTTTCTTAAATCTGTCAACATAAGACTTTTTTCCCAGACTTAGAATAATTTTTGCAGATGTTTTTGAACACTTTCCCAATTTTCTTCTTCTTTGATGTGTGAACACAAAAGTGGACATAGTATGCCAGCAATGGTCTCACTATTGTCATCTACAGAGATAATACCACTTCCCTATTCCTGCTTGATATGCCCCTATTTACAGATTCAAGGACTGTTAGCTACAATATCATACTAGGAACTCATGTTGAACTCTTACATACCATGGACAGAATTTTGTTTCACTGTGCAAGTGTCACTTGTGCAGTTTTTAGCCATCTAGGTCAGTTGTGCCTAACCTTCTGGGCACATGGGCCAGATGTGTGATGTGGTGCCAGACCACAGGCTGGATCTGTGTGTTGAGATAATGTGCAGGGTAAGTCCATGGGTTCAGTCCGGTGTGCTGGCCTGACTACATGTGCTGGCTCAACAACATGTATGTCTTGATCTCGCATATGAGATCCAGCATGCTGCATGCTAGGTCTGGCCACATGCCAGCCTGACCCCTGTGCACCAGCACTACTTTATAGCAGTGCAATCTAGTACACAGAGCAATGTAATCTGGCGTACAGAGGACTCCCCACAGGTCCAGAAATTTGGCATTGGGGAGCTTCAATGAACCATGCCACTGCTCTCCTCACCCCAAGTTTTTGGACCTGTGGCAAGACCCATGGGTGAGATGACATGACTTCATGTGCTAGAGGTTGAGCACCTCTGATCTAAGTCATGCAAAGAAACTCTATTTTGCCTTGTGTAATGGCTGAGCCATGCTTATCCACTAAAATGACTTAAGTGGCTGTTTTCACCATACGCAAATCAGTCTTTCCCTTCTAAGAGGATTTAAACTCTAATATCCTACATCACAGGACAGCAGCCAAATCACCCTAATGACAAACCAGGTGGAACTGAAAGCCCCATCTTGTAGAGGCTAGGCTACTGGGCAGCCACGAAAGCAAGCATCCTGAGGACTGCAGGAGAGTGGGTTGGAAGGAACTTAATTCTCTGGCTCAAAGTAATGGATGCTGCTGTAGGTAGCAGGGAGGGAGGAGACCCTTGCTTTCACTGGTTTTTATGCAGAATCATTAGAAAAACTACATAAACAGCATTTGGACAGAGATCAGTCTTCTTTACCTGCTAGAAACTCCCTCTGTCAGGCTGGGATAGAATAAAATGTTCTCCACTGTTGTATCTCTCCTCATGTCACACCTCTCCTGTGACCCTTCTCCCCACACACCCAAGATGGGCATTAAGGCTAACCAGTAGTAGGTTTGCACAGCAATTACTATAGCAATGTAGATGTTAAAAAAGTAATAATAATAGGGGAAGGTAATAAAGCATATAATTGTATCTTTTATCTTTTTTTAGGGTCAAAAAGGTGAGAAAGGTCAAAAAGGAGTTCAAGGCCCCGCAGGGTCCCCAGGAAAGTCAAGACTGAAAGAAATGCAGACAGGGATTCAAGGACCTCCTGGACTCCCAGGCAAACCTGGGCAAGATGGCCAACCTGTAAGTACTGCATCTTGGTTGAAGCAAATCATGTCATTTAGAAAAGCCAATATCTGTTCCTCACATACAGATGAAGGGCTAATCCTTCACTACCCTGCACACTGTGCAGTGCCAGTGCAGGTTTCTAACCTTGGCAAAGTGGGTGTCTAACCTTACCAGATCAGAATAGTAGCCTTTCATGCTCTTAGCACAACACAGACAAATACACAAAATGCCCAGCCACAGAGAATAGGGCCAAAAGGGTATACAACATACAAAACTGCTGCTGTGTTTGCCAACTTCCCAGCAGCAGCAGTTACCATTTTAAGAAACACTGGATGGCAGCTTTTGAAGTTACAGGGATTTATACAATGTGAATTTTTGGTTCACATAATATGTTATAGATTGGTCTTCCCTTTGTGATCATAAATACAGCATGGCCCCAGTTAAATGTAAATACATTGTGTTACATGATAGTGCAACACATGCATCCATTACATGATAATGGAACATCATTCCATTTTGGTATTTTCTCACAGCATAAATTGGCCATCAAGATGTAGTTAATTATTTTCATCTCATTTTTCTACTTTGTATATGTTCTGTTCTCCTTTCTAAAATAGTTGTTGTCTTTCAGGGCATCCCTGGTAAAGATGGATTGCCTGTAAGTACCTTTATCATGTATATTTTTAGTTCACTGGAAAAAAACAACTTTAATACATCTTTGCCTGACACTCAGCTAAGTTTAAATTTAAGATTTACAGTGCTTTTTTCAGAAGCCTTTTTTTGGTGTCTTAACACCTGCAATAGGCTTTAAAAGAAAGGAAGAAGTCTCTAAGGTTTCAAAATACATCAAAAAGAGTCCGTTTCAGCATAGCAGTTTAGGCAGATTTAAAAAAAAAACCATGTGGCCTTATTTATTTTGTTTTAAGCCTGCTGTACAAGGTTGGCAAGTAATGTAAGTTAATCTTTCCATTTTGCTAGTGACTGTCAACATTTCCATCTTGATAGGTAACATTGCTACCTAAACAAAGGGATGTTCTGAAACCCCAGTTTCACAGCTGCTCTTTCAATTCCTCCCTCCCAGATCTCAATGAGGTCTGAGCTTCTAGGATCAGATGGAGATAGAGATGTGGGGCTCCTAAGCTGATTCACCCTGGCAGTCTGAGGAGGTGGGCTCATTGTGCTCCAATCCAAACTTTATCATCTTTTTCCGGGGGAGGAAGCCAGAGGGGTCCTTCAGAGAGCAATCTACAAAGAGTCAAGGTCTAATAGGAAGTTTCTGTTTATTAAGGAAACTCCAAGAAGGGGATGAACTTGAGTCCTTTCCAGTGTATGCAGGGTGGGAGTGCATGCCACTACCCAGAACTACTGTACTCACTGACCTCCCAGTCACTGCTACTTCCCTGTCTCGTTTCTCAACTCATCAAGTATTCTTCCATAGCTTCCTGCTGCTCCTCCTTCACAGTGCTCTCCATTCTTGGCTCTAATCTATTAACAGACCTGCAGGATTAGCCTCCCTCCTTGCCCACAGTTACTCAATCCCTACTTATTTCCACTTCAGTGTCCATATTCTCCATCATGTCCCTCCCCCCCTTCCCTTCCCCAAGCCTACAGCCACCCCCACCCACTTCCACATTATATTGTCCCCATGCCCCTCTTGTCTGCTATTATTCATCATGATCCTACTGCATTTTCAGGTATTCTCCAACTTCTTTTTCCTTCCCCTTCAGTTTGCCCAGCCTTACCCCAATCAGGTACCCCCACCTTCCTTCCCATGGGCCACATTTTACCAAATCCTGCAGCCCAGTGTTCCCATTCTCCTCTTACTTGTGATGACATTTGTCATTTGCAATGCACAAGGGCAAAACCTCTTCCACCTACCAAATCCTAACTTATTTCCTGTGTACCACCCAGCTGCCATAATTTCCTGATTCTTCCCTGTTATGAAAATCCAAATGCTGCAACCTTCATTATGAATAGCCTTACTCATTAAGACGTCTTAAACATGGCTGCTAAAACCATCCTATCTGTTCCTGCTCTCCTCAGGTACCCCTAAAGCAAGAGTCACATTGTTATGGTAATTAAAAGTAATCCAGTAGTGAAGGGGTTAATTATTTAGCCCAACAGGTGCACAAGTGATCGATTTATCTGAAAGTCTATGTACATACTTTTTGTGCAGAAAAATCTAGCTATTGCTGCATAAATTTAGCGCAAATTAAGGAGAAATCATTTCATACAAAAGCTAGGAGAGAATTTATTGTTTTCAGCTTTGTACAGAGTTCTCTGGCTCTAGCACTCTAATTGTGAGCAGAGCATTTTAAAACAGAAAACAGTGAAATAAACATAATGTGGGAATTTATTCAAACATACAAAGCTGTTTCTTCCAAAGCAATTATGAATTTTAATTCTTCTTAACTTGTGGTCATACTTGTTTTGCCTTTTGCAGTTCTATGTAATGCAAAGAGTCCTATTTCCTTCCCCAGAAATTTTGCTGCAGCCCTAGTTTTGTTCCAAAACCTTCCATTCTACAAGCATTTAACCATGTGTTTTATTGTGATTAGGAATCATACTGAAGCAGTGGGACTACTCCAGATTTAAGGACATAGCTTAACTGTTTGCATGAATAAAGATTTAGGACTAGGTAAAGTCATCATGGGATCAAATGCCCTTGGGGCAGCCGCACCCCTCGGCTGCCAGGATCCAGCTGGGTCCCGGGACCCAGCATCTGCAGCTGCGGGACTGTGGGTCTCTATGCTGCTATCCCAGTGTCAACTACTTTCTGGGGCTGAGAGTCCCCTCAGTTGTTGGACTCCCAGCCCATGCTGGGCATAGTTAGCTGCTCTGTTAGCTGACAGGGCTCCCAGCCTCAGAGAAGACCCTGCTACACCTGCAGATTAAAGCTTAATAGCAACCAGTTATAAAGGTAGTACACATTTTTGAGGTCTAACTTTATAGATGGTTGGAGCATTTTATGGCATGATAGTTACTTTGCACACATAGCTAGCCTTAAGGAAATTGTGTAGTTAACCAGTTATACTGTAACATATACTGTACATCAAGGGCTCAGTGAACAACTGTTTACCAGGGCACCCTTGGGGAAAGCTAGGAGTAATGGTGACAAACTCCTGGAAGACCGTTTCAGGCTCCACATTGGGAAAAACGATTTCACAACTAGGGTGTCCAGACTGTTGAATAAGCTCCCTCCAGAGGTGGTGCAATCGCCTACCCTGGAAATCTTCAAGAGGAGACTGGATGGTCACCTTGCTGGGGTCACCTGACCTCAGTTGTCTTTCCTGCTTGTGGTCTTGTGCAGGGGGCTGGACCTGATGATCTTCCAAGGTCCCTTCCAGCCTTACAACCTATGAATCTATGAATATAGAGGAGGCCTAAACGTGATTCTGTTCCACTCTTAAATTCTGAAAAATACATTAATTCATAGACTTTTGTAACACAGTGACCCTTAAGATTGAGTCACAAAAACTAGTGAAGAGGAAGAGGATGACCTGCTTACATCTTGTATTAACAGTTTTTTCAGGGACTCAAGCAAGATTGAACAGGAGAGCACTTAGGCAACTAAGTTCACTTAAGTGCCTAATAGGTGGAATAGAATCTAGCCCTTAATATGTAAAAAACAGTTTGTCATAAGCATAGATTATTCCCTAAGATAAATCACTAATAAACTGAACTCCTGCATGTATACCTTTGATTCACATTGAATCTTTATCATGGGTCTTTAAACTTAGCACAGGGCTATTACTTTAAAACAGAGGCAGTGGAGACAGTAAATATGTAAAATTATCCAGAAAAAAAACCCCATGAATGAAAATAAATTTGCACTTAATTTTTTCTTCATTACTTTATCCAGCAGTATTAAAATCACTTGAAACTTTGCTATTGACCTCAATAAACATGCGGTCAAACCCGATATAAAAAACAGCGCAGTAAAAGGCTGAACTACCACACTCACTGGGACTGAGCTCAGAGCAGTTAGGAAAACATATGGTTGATCAGTAACTTCCCAAAACATGGCTCATTCACCAATACCACATGAGGACCTGTAATAAAACATAGTCCTGCATTTGTACAAATTACATTAAATCAGTAGAAAACAAGCAATAACAATCAAATAACTTGTACTGTATATTTTTTTTTATTTACGTGACTTGAAATATAGTATAACAAAAAGACCTTGTACTTTAAAGTACTTTGTTTACAAGGTTACTGTACTATGAACTGAAATTTGTTGGTTGTAATTCAATATTGATAGGGTTGGAAATGGGAATAACAAAGTTTTAAAGGAGCTGCTAATCATTTTTTGTTTAATGGCACATCACATGATGTGTGGCATTGTGTGGTTGATTGGACATAGTCATTGGGCATTCTGCTGCATACGCATACTGTATGAGAGAGAACACGTCTTTTGGTAGGAACGTTATTTGGGGCTTGGGAGTTCAGATTCATGGGTACTCTGTTGAAAAGAAAATTGGGGCCTAATACTGAAACGTACTAAGCATTTTCTGTGCAATACTAAATGTCTTGAACACCCATAGCACTTAATGTGAATTGAGTGTACTCAGCACAAGGCTAGACTGGCACTCTAGGAATGTCAGTTGGACTTGAGTGTATTCATCACCTCTCACTGAGACATCCTTCATGATCTGTTTATTCCCTGGTCAGCAGCATATCACAGAAATATCTGAGCATCTTCTTCTTTATTGCCCATTACCTTGTATGAAATTGAGAGTGGAGATCTTCCCAGTGTCCACTTTTGATAGCTTAGAAAGGAATAATTTAGGTGAAGCAAAGGTCAAGTTCCGGCTTGCAGTTTATCTGCTAGTACTGCATTGTGAAAATGTGCAATAGAGAGAGAACTAAACTCTCTACATGAATAAAAAAAATTAATCAGGTGAGTATTTCTCCTGCTTCAGCTTCCTCCTGAACAGAATAGAGTAGCTTTCTTCTGGAAAACTTTTAGTTCCAAAGTATGCATCATTTATGGGAACACTATTTTAATGATAAGAAAATATTTAATCAAAAATGTATTTTTAGGGTAAAAGAGGACTTCAAGGAGTGCCTGGGATGAAAGGAGAGATGGGCATGAAAGGACAAAAGGTAGGTATCCTGTCAGTATCTAAAAAGCAACCTGATTAGATGTCATTCCTGTTTTGTTTTGTACTGATTTGAGTAAGTTCCTAAGGAGAATAAGGGGACCACAAAAATAACTTCAGCACCCTACTTGCTGGACACCTGTGCAAACCAGTCACAAAAGACCCCACAGGGTTTGCAGGAAGTAGATTATTTTGCTCATAAAAAGAACAAGGTTAAATCCTATTTCGTTTTACATTCTTAAATGGCACATACACAACGGCAAAACTGCAGTTTTTGGCCTCCTCTCCAGTCCTCCTCCTGAAGCTGGCACACTGCAGCTTGTTTTTAATAGTCATTGGATAAAATGAATGAAAAGTAGTGGGGAAGTTTCCACTCCTTTGGGAGCAAAGTTTCAGGACAACAGCCACCTCACTAAACCACACACCTTCTCACTTATTTGCTTCATCCTGGCCCCACATTCTTCCACTTCTGGCTGCCAGCTGGGGTCAGCTGGAGAAGTGTCTGATTAATGCCTAACCCATGGTTAATAGATTTTTTCTGGGAAGGAGGAGGTGATGGGTCAAACTCCCCGTGGCTGAGGGGGCTTGGGACCTGGAACTCCTGCTCCCTGGTCAAGTGTCCTAATCATTAGGCTGTTGGTGTCAGGACCCATATGTTTCAAACCTGGACCATCTGCATAGACAGTACCACCAGGCAACAGGCCAAATAACAGCCCCAGCTTAGCCTTGGCCCTCCTTTGAGATGTCCAGTGGGGGATCAGGTGACTTGGGTGAACCAGCTCCTCATGGAAAGGCTATAAAACCTTCCCGTTTCCTGTAGGGCCCTTTCTCAGCAATACCATTGTTGAATGTTGCTGCCTTGGACCCTCATCCTTGTTCCTGTCTTGGACCTCCTGCCCTTAATCAACTGCTGTCCTGTCCACAACTTTGTCTTGACCATTGGCTTGTCACTCTGGCACCTGGGTGCATACCTGGCTTTGACCATGGCTACCTGGCTTCTGATAAACCCCCTGATTTTGGTCCTAGTGTCTTAGGCCCTGCTTGTTGTTCTTGATTTCCTGTTCCCTGGGTTCTGCTTCCTCTGTTCCTGGCTGTCTTGTTCCTGGCTGTTGACCTCTCTGCTCAAAACTGTCTTGTCAGCTCCTGTACTAGCTGAGTGACTACTTGCATTCCAGGTGCAGGCTTGACATGTAGGCTAAAGGATGGGTACAGTCCAGCTTCTCAGTCATTTCCTCAGTTATTTTGTACACATTCCAATCTTCCATGGCTCTATGAAAGTACTGTTGGAGTTCATAGAGTTCCTACCACCAAGATAGCAGCAGTATTACCAAGTTTCATCAGTTACCATTGACCAGAGAAGAAGAAAGTCAAGGAAAAGCATGCTGGGCATTCCTTGGCATCTCATCAATCCACTCTGTTGCTAATATTCCCAGTCCAGGTTTCTCCTGGGTGGAGTAAATTAGAATCACTGGCACATACCCTGTCCTCACCTTGGACACTGCCATCTTCTCAACCAGCTTCCACATCTGTTGTGGTGCTAAGGGGTATCATCATGCCCTGGATATTGGAATTAAACCCTGCTACCCAGCCTCATATTCTTTAGCTCTGATGTTCCAAATTCCTCTAGGGCATGGATGCCCAACCTGCAACACAGCATGAGTGCTGCAAGTGGCACAGACAGCCTCTGGATGTAGCACAGGGTAGAATAGGGAGGAGATGAACAGAACAGCAGCAACAGGGCAGGAAGCAGAAAAGAAAACAACAAATCAGGCTGGGAAAAGAGATCAGTTTGGCACTTGGTGACGGTGCAGAGCTAATTCGAAGCATGCCTGTGATTGGCCCTCACTGCTCTAGAGCAATTGCAAGTGCCCCCTGAAGACAAAGAGGACTCTCCAGATCCAGGTTCAAGACTGGGTAATTTGTAGGAGAATAATCTTTCCTTCACTTGATTAGTCTCTATTATATCATTACCCCAAGTGCTACGTGAATTTAGTGGCTTTAAGCACATAATGTGGTAGACATCTGATGTTTTCTCATCCAGCAGTCTTCAGATTCCTCAAAGATCCGATTAAAGTGCTTCCCTTGGTGATAGACTTGCTTCCTCAACAGGACCTGAATTTTGTTCTCAGGATTCCCATGGTTCTGTTAGGCCAGGCCACTCTTGGCCTGCTATCTGGTACCATGTAAATCAATACAACCTATTCCATGGTCAGGTTGTCAGCAACTAAACCAGCGCTCCCGCCTGAGCTAGCCTGGGTGAGGAGGGTGTGTAGACACCCACCAGGACTAAAAATGACCTGTCAAAGGGCAGATGAGCTCCCTGTAAGCCAACGGCCATTCATACCTGGAGAAGAGATGGGAGCTACCAGGTCACTTTGCCCAAAGAATCACCAATGATGCACCAGCATCTAAAGTGCCCCAATGGCTGCGGTGGCCTTGGGATAAACCCACCCCCCCCTCCCATCAGGCCACTGTCTAAACCTATGGCAATGTGTTCTTTCTCCACCTCTCCATGAACAGTGTTCCTGGTGATGGTTACTTTAACAAGGAGGGTGGGTGATATTCAAGCCCTCTTGGAGTATTCTTTGTATATACTTATACAGATAAAGTATTCTTGAGGACTCACCCTAAGTTCCTAACTAAGATAGTCACTGATTTCCACCTTAGTGAGCACATCAACTTCCTAGTGTCCTTCCCAAAACCTTATTTCTCCCTTGACATGAAAAAGCTCTGTCCTTCTACCTAAACAAAATTAAACCTTTCAGAAAATTGCCCCCACCATCTGTTTGCTTAGTTGAGAGATATATGGGTGTAGAAGTATCAGTCCAAAGAATATCCAACTGGATATTGAATTGTGCTAAGCTCTGTTATGATACCTCTAAGGTAGAGCATTAGTCAGAGCTCATTCCACCAGATCCCAGGCTACTGCTATAGCCTCCCTACACAATGTCTCCACAAGTATTATTTGCCCGGAAGCTGCCTGGAGTCTTACCCAACACTGTGACATTCCAGAAGCATGCCCAGCAGACCCATTATTACCTGCAGGTCTGAGGGTATGGCTTTAGAGTTGCACACAGTGTAGACAAGTATATGGACAATCATTCCAGGAGAAAGAGAGGTCAGTTCATTACCAGTAATGAGAATTTTTTAGAATTGTCCATACTCGCATCCATATCACCTCCTCTTT